GCTAGACAGGTCAGAGGAGAGAGAGAGAGAGAGAGAGAGAGAGAGCATGTACATCCACACAAAATCTTAAGAAATACAGTCAAACTTAATTATCTCAAAATTGAGGGGGGCTGGAAAAAGCATAAATAGCCAATGTGCAGGAGTTAAACTATGCTTCATTAATTCATTGTGTTAAATCTTACATGTTTGTACAGAGCTATTAGAGAAAAAGACCTGACTGAGAAGAAGTTAAGTAATGCCCAGAGAGGCCCAGTACCAGCCCCCCGGGGACCCTCAGACAAACCTGACCATGTAGTGGAGGAACTCAAGACGAGGAACTATCAGCTTCAGGATAAGGTAATCAGTCAAATGGACAAATAGATATAAAACTTTGGTTACAGATGACAGTTAAACCAAGAAACATTGATAAATGGGGTACTATGTATCTGTTGAACAATTTGTAAACACCAGTTTACTACATTGAAACTCTCCTTAATTACTGAAGATGAAATTATTTTTCTTCCCAAAACACAACATGTTTTACCCTAATCTAGAATACTTGTGTGATTTTCTGAGTGAATTCCTTGCTATTATTTTCAGGTAACCAAGTTACAAAGGGAGTTAACTCTGGCTAAAGATGTGGCGGTACGCGAGGTGGAGGTCAGGAATAAATACCTGACAGAACAGCTGGAGTCCATGGAACAAGTAGTGGCACAGAAAGTGTCCGTCACCTCTACACAACCAGGAGCGGATCAAACAGGAGTGTCTACCAAGGAATTCCAGGTCATTTTTGAGAAGAATCAGAACTTACAGAGACAAATGTTGGCACTGTCTGAGGAAAATATTGAACTCAAGTTTGAGAATGAGCAGTACAGGAAAGATGCTCCAAGGCTTAAGGTAACATTTACAATTACATATACTAACAGTTATTTTCTTTACATTCTCTTTGCAAAAAAGCAAAATGTTTAAAGAATTTCTTCTCTCTAGTCTCTATCACTGTTATGTAGCCTCTGCTTTGGTTTGTAGGAAAGGATAGCAGATCTTCAGAGTTACGTGGAGGCCCTTAAACAGGAAAACTCGCAACTTGGAGGGAACACAGCCAGATCTTTTGACTCGTCAGGCTCCAGTGGGATCAGAAGGGTAATTAGACTCTCCAATTAACAAAAAATAACACATAAGTTGTAGATATGAATATTGCATGCAAATACCAGTAGGGGAAAACAGTTAGTGTAAAATGTTTTATCACATTGAGAACTTTACTTTCTGATGAACAGATTGGGGATAGTGGGAAAAGTGTGAGAGAATTAGAGAAGACAATAGCTCTCCTGAAGAAGGTTGTAGAGCGTGTACAGTTGGAGAATGAAGAATTAAAGAAAGCTCCCCACATCACAGGGAACGAGGAACTGCAAAAACTGAGGCTGGAAAATGCTGGACTCAAGGTTTGTTTTTATATGGACATCAAATGATATGAATATGAAAAGTAAAAGCAACAAAATTATGTTTATACAGTGTTGAAAGTGGATGTTTTTGTAAGAATTAAGCTTTGTAAAGTATAGAAGAGTGTTTGAGCCAATATTTTCCCCCTTGCTCTTTCCTTGACTAAATTTTCTTCAGAGAGTCCCTCACTACCGTATAATGGGTATTTTTCATGATAATCCAATTTTTGCTATGTCTGGAGTTTTTTTTAAGATCGCAAAAAATTAGTTATTTACCATATAGAAAAATCAAATAAACCACTTGGAGAATTGCAAACATAGGACCATGAAGAATTAAATTAGTGGTGTTTTGGAATATTTATGCAAGAAATATGATACACAGAAAAAAAATGTTATACAGTGTTATATTTACAGTAAATGATGTTACATTTTCAGGATCAATTGGAGGAGTTGCGAATGAAAATGGGTGCCACACTTAGTGAGAGGTACACCACCACACAGAAGGGTACCGCCAAAATGATGACAGACTACGAGAAAATGAGGAAAGATCTCATGAAGGTATGGGAATAAGAAAATACAAATTACATATATAAACTTTATCTCCAAGTCAAGGGCTATCAAAACAGAGATGAAATATTTATGTAATATGATTAATTTGCAAGACTAAAATTGTAATTGTTCCAGAAACTTTGACAAAAATTTGAAATAAAGAAAAATGTGTCTTTGTCTCGATTGACAAGGGGCTGTGCTATGTAATGTATTTATATATATGACTTGGTGAGTGTTTAATGTGACTTGTTTGTTACTTAACTGCTAATATTGCAGGAAATTGAGTCCAATGAGAAGTTAAGAATGGAGATCCGGAATCTGGAGCTACAGAAGGAACAATTGAACAGCCAGCTCCAGGATTCCAAGTCTATGACTGGACTGGAGCGAGAACGTCCAGGTGGATCTGGAACCATGGACTCCAAGGGCTGGAAGTCTGCTGTGGTCACCAGGATGTATGAGGGGAAACTGAAAGATCTAGAGAAAGAAATGGAGAAAAAGGTAGATAACTCTTATGAGCTTTTTACATGTAAGAAGGCTCAAGGTATAAATGTACATATAGGATACAGTCAAGGAGTATATGCTATACTCATTTCAATGCCTTCAAATTTTATCAATATTGTTGACTAGGAGGTGATTTTTTTCTGTTTCTGAAATCTTAAACTTCATATTTTATCATAGAAATCCTGAGTCCAAAGCAATTACAAGATACTGTAAATATGCATCACAATAAAATGTTTTTTGTTGGTCAAGATTTTTAACATTTTAGATCTTTTGCAAAAATAGATATTATCTGATTTAAAACAAGAATGTTCTGTATTTTTGTTTTGTAGAACAAGTTACTGAGTGATACTAAAACTTTACTGAAGGAGGCAGCAGAGAGGGAACAGAGGTTACTGACAGAGAACCAGGCTCTCAAACAGAAGGTAAGGTATACTTCTTCCATAGAGAATTCCAGGTATATAAAGTAATTAAGTATCAATGTTAATTACTCATGGTAGATATGGCAGTTCTAGAAACTGTGTTCCTGTTTATTATATTTAAGACCAGATTTTTAAACACTCAGAAAATTTAGACCACATTTAATGTTTAAAGTCAGTTTACCTCCCTTTTCAGAATGCTATCTTGGAAAAATATCCTCATGGTGCTAAAACTTCAGATATGGGTTTAACAAAAGATTTCCAACAAGCCAGGTACTGAGTCAATAGAGTTGTTTTTCCACAAATGAAATTGAATTAGTTAATAACACTATTGTTTATAGTATTTAAAGTAGGTTAACTCGTGTAAATTTTGTGCTAAAATTTATTATGTCTTCTTAATAAAAATTGTATTTTATATCCTGATGATAAAATTGAAATTTACTTTTGTTTTCTTCACACTGTTGCCAGACTGACTATAGAACGATTGGAGAATGAGAAGAAAGAGATACAGCATGAACTTCAGATATACAAGCAGCAAGGTGGAGGGACACAGGTAAAATAAGACAAAAATGTTTGTCCTGTAAATAATACATGTACATGTAAAGAGGGACTCAGGTAAAATAAGACAACAATGTTTATCCTGTAAGTAATTCATGTACACATGTACAAATAGTAGGATGTAAAGATATATGTAAAAATTAAATTCCCTAAGCTATACTTCTATGCAGCATTGAGGCTTGGAATGTTGGTGTATATGAATTTTGCTAGAATGAATTAGAGATACAGCAAGAAACAGTGTCTTTGTAGAGATTTAATGCAGATAATTGCTCAAATAAGTAATACTGTTTAAATTATTTAAATTTTGTACCATTCCATGTGAATTCAATTATCTTTACCTTATTTTATTTAAAACTACAAAGTCACCAATTTTTAAATGTTAATTGTCACCAGCTTGGACAGCCTTGCCTTTTCTAGCCCTAAAATGAGTTTCTTTTCATTCTAACAGTTATCAGGTGACGTAATAACCAAGGTTACAGCCTACGACAGACTAATGGATGAAAATGTGGAAATCAAAATGCAGCTACGAACAGTGGAGACAGAGAAGGACAAATATAGACTGGAAATGGAGAGGGTGAGTAGTGTTTGGTAGAGAAATGGAGAGGATGAGTGGTGTATGGTAGAGAAGGACAGATATAGACTGGAAATAAAGAGGATGATTAGTGTACACACAGTAGAGAGGGAAAAAGACTAATACTGACTGGAAATGAAGAGAATGAGTAGTGTATGGTAGAGAAAAGGAAAGGATGAGTAGTGTATGGAAGAGAAGGCCAAATATAAACTGATGTCAATGGGTTTACAGGTGTGTGAAAGTCGGTCAATATATGGGGTCTCAATAGCTCAGTTGGTTAGAGCGCTGGCACAGTATGCCAAAGGCCCTGGGTTTGAGTACCAGTTGAGACTTGGTTTTTCACCAACTGTGACATTTTGGCGCCCCATGTTGGTGTGGTTTTGGTTTTTTTTACTGGAAATGGAGAAGATGAATGTTGTATGGTTTTGTATAATTTATAATGGGTGACACTTCTGTAATATCTATATTTTAAAGTTACGAATTATTACCTTATGTTCTTATGCAAATTAATAGTACTATTTTTATGTATGTATGTATAACCAAATCACTCCCTATTTTCCCGCACTTTTACCATGTGATGCTTGAGTGTATTAATATCTGACTACTGATGACCAGGGAGTCTCCAATAAAAAGTGAACCACACAACACGTGTTTTCATTTCAATATCCTTTAAAACAAGGATAACATATCTGGCGACGAGGAAAATACTGTTAACGATTGGTAATGGACCGATTACCAGAATTTCCCCCATTTGAGTATGCAGACAAGGCTGATGCAGGACCAAAGTGGGAGAAGTGGATTGAGCGATTGGAACTATCATTCACTGGAATGAACATTGACGATACTAGCCGGAGAAGAGCGCTTTTATGACACTACGCTGGAGAACGTGTCTTCGACATCTACAACGCCGAAAAGGAAGATTCGCCAACTACATACGTAGGAACGAAACAGGTACTGTCTACATATTTTTCTCCGTAGAAAAACATACAAATGGCTGTGTACAAGTTTAGAAACTGTAAGCAATCGGGCACTCAAACACTTGATGAGTATGTAACTGAACTCCGTAGATTGTCAAAAGACTGTGAATTTAATGATGTAAACAAAGAAATCTTATCCCAAATCATTCAACACTGTCGCTCAAACCGCCTGTGGAGGAGAGCACTACGTGAGCCCGATATGACCCTGCAGAATCTAATGGATTTAGACCGAGCGATGGAAGTGGCTGAAACACAGGCGCAAACAATGGAAGAACAGAGTGAGCGTGCTGTGAATTTTGTAAACAAACCATGTGTGAAATTTAAGAACAGACAGAGTGAGAAGCCGAAAGGTCAATCTAAGTGCACGGCCGTGAGCGCTGCTGTGGCGAACACGTGTAGGAACTGTGGGGGACCATATCCGCACACTGCAGAATGCCCCGCTAAAGGCAAACAGTGCCGCTATTGTAAGAAACTAATCACTTTGAGAAAGTATGCCGGTCAAAGAAAAGTAATGGTGCCAAGGGAAGCTATCCAAAGAAACACAAAACGCGAGTTGTGCGAGAGTTGGATGTTGAAAATATGTCTTCAACTGATGAAGAATATTTGTATACTATTAATTGTAGCAAAGGCCCAAAACAGTGTCTTAAGGTCAACGGAACTTACTGCGATTTTCTCCTTGATACCGGAGCGTCAGTGAATATCTTGGACGAAGCAACTTACCTAAAGTTGGGACAACCCAGACTCGAAACAAACGGTTCCAAGCTTATGCCGTATGGAGGAAATGCACCGTTGGATGTGATTGGCTCATGTTTACTTGATGTTCAGTGGAAAAACATCATGCAACAACACAAATTCTATGTTGTCCGTGGGAGCAATGGAGCATTGTTAGGTTATTCAACGTGCCATTCTCTAGAACTTGTACATATTGTGAACCAGCTGTCTGATGCTGATGTCACTTGGAAACACCAAGACGTGTTCAAAGGAATTGGTAAACTTGTAAACAAAACAGTCCACATTCATACAGATACTTCGGTGAAGCCAGTTGCGCAGCGCAGCAGACGTATACCGTTTCATTTGCATCCGAAAGTTGACGCGGAGCTTCAAAAGCTGCTAGATGATGACATCATAGAACGCGTAGAAAACGAACCAACACCATGGGTGTCACCTATTGTCTGCGTCCCCAAGAAAAATCCTGATGAGATTCGTGTTTGTGTAGACATGAGAGAGGCAAACAAAGCGATCATCCTTGAACGACATTTAATGCCAACCGTAGATGAACTCATCCATGACTTGAACGGCGCATCTGTATTCAGCAAGCTTGATCTTAGACAAGGGTACCATCAGCTCGAGTTGGACCACGTGAGTCGTTCCATCACTACATTCAATACTCACGTAGGAATCTTCAGGTATAAACGTTTGAACTTTGGTATTTCGTCCGCATCTGAGATATTTCAGGAGACTGTGCACAGTGTGATACAGACTGTATCAGGTGCTAGGAATATTTCGGACGATATTTTGGTATTCGGTAAAAACCAAGAGGAGCATGATAAAGCTCTCGAGGACACTCTGAAATCACTAAGTGCCAGTGGTTTAAAATTAAATCAATCGAAATGTGAGTTCAATCGTGACCACATCACATTATTTGGCTTGGTGTTCAACAAGTCCGGAATATCGCCTGACCCAGCAAAGGTATCTGCTATACGCGATGCACAGAAACCGTCCAACATCAGTGAACTCCCAAGTTTCCTTGGCATGACTTCATATTGCCTTAGATTTATTCCAGACTACTCAACAGTAAGTGAACCTTTGGGGCGCCTGATGCGCGCAGACTTGTCATGGTCTTGGACAGCCGAACAGGACGCTGCTTTTGACAAGTTGAAATCACTCTTGTCAAGTGATACTTTGATAGTGTACTATGACCCAAATAAAACTGTTGAGTTAATAGTGGACGCTAGCCCAGTGGGTTTGGGTGCAATTCTCACTCAGGAGAACAAGGTTGTTGCATACGCCAGCAGGTCATTAAGCCCCACAGAGTCTCGTTACAGCCAGACGGAACGTGAAGCTCTAGGTATCGTCTGGGCATGTGAACACTTCGACATGTACTTACGAGGTGCACCATACTTCAGAGTTGTGACAGACCACAAGCCGTTGGAATCCATATGGAAGCGAGCTAAACCGCCACTCAGGATAGAGAGATGGGGTCTCAGATTACAACCTTACAAGATGACTATTGTCTACCGTCCTGGGAAAGATAACCCTGCTGACTATATGTCAAGACACCCCATTTTGACACAAAAACTCTCACGAGAGGAGGACATAGCAGAACACTATGTGAAGTTCATTGCCGAAAAAGCCGTACCTAAAGCTATGACCTTGGATGAAGTTAAAAGAGCAACAAATGAGGAAAAGACAATGCAAAAGGCTATTGACTATGTACGCACAGGAAAATGGTATGAACTTAAGCGACTGGAGGATAAAGATGTGGATTTGCTAGAACTACAAGCTTTACGGAATGTTCAAGACGGATTGGCTGTGTATTCTGACAATGTTTTACTTAGAGAAGGCCGTTTAGTCCTACCTAAATCTCTCTGTGAACGGGCCGTCACCATTGCTCATGAAGGACATCAGGGAATCAGTTGCACCAAGGCACTGCTACGCTCAAAAGTATGGTTTCCTGGATTAGACGATTTAGTTGAAAACTCGCTCAAATTCTGCTTACCTTGTCAGAGCGTTACTGAAAGGCCTAATCGAATTGAACCATTCAAGATGTCCGATATGCCACATCGTCCATGGGAAAACTTAAGTGTTGATTTTTGTGGACCCTTACCAGCAGGGGAATACTTATTCGTGATCACTGATGAATTTACCAGATATCCAGTCGTCGAAATAATGCGATCAACCTCAGCAAGTGCTACTATTCCTGTGCTGGATAAAGTCATTTCTACTTTTGTATTACCTAAGATCGTGAAGTCGGACAACGGAAGTCCATTTAACTCTGCCACATTCAAGGAATTCGCGGAAAACATGGGATTTCATCACCGCAGAATCACACCTCGTTGGCCTCGGGCGAATGCTCAGGCAGAATCCTTTAACAAACCGATGATGAAGGCAGTCCGAGTTGCTCATGTTGACAGGAAAAACTGGAAACAAGAACTGTTCCGTTTTCTTCGACAGTATCGAAATACTCCTCATTCATCAACAGGATTAAGTCCATTCACGCTGATGTTTGGCCGAGATACAAGAACTAAACTACCACAAATATCAGGACCAACAGATCGTCCCAGAGACGAAATCGCGCGACAGCAGGATGAATACGCCAAACGTAAGATGAGATCAGAGACCAGAAACAGGACTCAACAGATAAACAGTGGAGATACCGTCCTTATCAAAAACGAATCTGGAAATACGCTGACGCCAGCTTATAACCCGGAACCTCACATCGTAGTGAGCACCAAGGGAACAATGATATCAGCCTCCCCTTGTTCCAGTCCGACGACGAAGTGTGTTACGCGCAACTCGTCCTTCTTCAAAAGAATTGCGTGTCCAAGGAACATACAATCGCGCGAGACTGAATACCCGGAGGAGGAAGAGATAGTATATCGGAGGGCCAGCACAGAAATGCCGTTAAACGATACGTCATCATCAAACGTACCAGGAACCCCTGAAGCACAGAAACGTGTCGCGAGTCAAACCAAAGTCGTACCCAGTTCGAACCCTTACGTCACCAGGTCCGGTCGTACTGTCAGAAGACCTAATGTATTGAAAGACTTTGTGTCTAAGTGACTCTGTGAATAAGTGACTCTGTTGTTTAATAGATTTTGCTTTGTTATTTTTTTATTAGTCTAAAATGGTTCTCTGATGATTTAATAATTTTTTTGATTAAAATTAATGAATCTCTTTATCTAAGAAAAGGAGGGATGTAATATCTATATTTTAAAGTTACGAATTATTACCTTATATTTTCATCCACTGAATAGTATTTCCTTTATTTCTTAAGAAATCCATTGCTGTTTATCTGTGAGTAAACAACACTAAGCAAGCCACCAGTAAAGATTTCTTGAGCAACGGCTGTTCCATCAATTATACATACAATGTCATACACTTCTATAATACAATATTTAACATGTTTAATTTTACTTTGAATGTTTTTTTTATAACACCTTCCATTTTAACTTGATCAATTCCATTTGATCAAAAGCTCTGTATGGTTGTTAAGTACAAAAAAGACAACTGAAATCTATGCATACTTTAAACAATTTATTTTCCAATTCTTACCAAATGCTTGTTAAAGAAACCATTATATATCTGGCATGTCTTAACAACTGTTTGTTAAGAACATGAAAAATAAGCTGAAGGAATTCTTAAATAATTGCTTGTTAAATAAAATTAAGTAAAACTGTTACACTTTTATACAGAGTTTTAACAACTGTTTGTTAAGACTACCCAAAGAATTCCACAAGATATATTCTTAACAACTGGTTGTTAGAAATGCAAAGGAAGATGAACAGAATAAAGTCTTAACAACTGCTTGTTAAGAATACCAAAAAAATTTCACAAGGTATATTCTTAACAACTGGTTGTTAGGAATGGAAAGGAAGTCAAACGGAATAAAGTCCTAACAACTGCTTGTTAAAAATACCAAAAGAATTTCACAAGATATATTCTTAACAACTGGTTGTTAGAAATGGAAAGGAAGTCAAACGGAATAAAGTCTTAACAACTGCTTGTTAAGAATACCAGAAGAATTTCACAGGATATATTCTTAACAACTGGTTGTTAGAAATGGAAAGGAAGTCAAACGGAATAAAGTCTTAACAACTGCTTGCTAAGGATGCTAGAAGTAGGTCCATGGAATCCTTTTAAAATTTGCTAGAAAACCGGGATAAAAATTGACAATTGACAATCAATTAAAATTATTAAGCAAATATAGCACATACAAGTTTAATGAAATATTCTTTTCTTAACAACTAGTTGTTAGAGGACCAAGGCTAGACAACTCAGGAAACATTGGGAAAAATGTCTTAACTTTTTAATAAAAAGATTAGGAGTATGTTCAAGATATTTTCTTAACAACTGCTTGTTAAGAAAGCTATGTTTCAATTAATGCAATTCTTTTAAGGATACACCAAAGGTTTCCAAATGCCAGAATTTAATTTACATGTAATTCTTTCATTATCAAAGATAACATAATAAAGGTATATATCATTTGAAAGCTTGTTAAATTTACTATTTAATTATCCTAATTTAAACTTTAATTAATAACTTATTTAAAAATTATTTAAATTTTAATGTAAATTTTAGTGCATAAATATTTTATAAATCAACCTTTTTGTATTTAACCCCTCAAAGTGGTCATTTTGCCTCAAGGTAGATTAAAGATTGAACTTAAAAACTGTATCTCAGATTTTTTATAAATCTTCTAATTCAAAAGTTACAGCCATTTGCTCTTCAATATTATCAATTTATTAGCCTAATTTAACATTTTCCTCAATAATTCCAAAACTAAGCTAGATATCAAAAATCTGAGATACGGTTTTGTGAACACACATTTGAGAAGCAACCCATCCAATTTTCAGAGAAATTGGTCAATAAATAAGGGAGCTGAATCCTTTGAAATAATACCACACACTGTCTGATCTTACTTTATAGTAGAAGTCAAAAACCCATTACACAACAAAATCTGCCAAAGCTAGAAATATATGACACCTTAGAGATTCAGCTTTGGATACCTGTCACTTGGCCATATTTCCTATGCATATTCACAAAAATGGGAGGTTCTTTTCTGTATTTAGATGCTTTTATTTAAGTAAAATAGGTTCAATTCTGAATCAGAAAGATTTCCCGGCAAAATGGCAAGAGCTAAGCTCCACCTTCATATTAATATTAGACATGATAAATTGTTCATCGAGTTTTCCTAAAAAAGTCTTGCAGTAGGTTTACTTGTTCTTCTCTATTACTCCCAAGTATTCAACAACTGCCACAGTGTAATATTCTATTCCTCTTCTGTAATACCCTGTAAAAAATATACATCATTTGAGTGGTAAAATTCACATTCTTTGATATTTTTTTCTATCTAATATATTATCAAATAAACCATTAATTGAATTTTTACATTCACCAAACAAATTTATTATATTTGTGCATAATGCTGGACAGATTTAGGCAGAGAAGTGTGATGGGGTAAACATGGAATTTGACCTCAGATACTTAAAAAAAAGGTAAGAAATATGAATAAAGAACTGCATTTTGTATCTTTATTTTTTTTTCTAAAAATGTGGCAAAATGAGCCAGTACTTCCTAATGGAAACATCCAATAAAAGAGGTTAGGACAAGTCCCAGAGATGAGTAAACCAAGACCCTGCAGGAGATCCCCCCCCCCCCCCCCCCAAATATTTCTCATAGACGTTAAGCAGCCAAAATTGCCATCAGATTTGTTCCCTTTTCCAGACTTTGTGTATTGCAAAAAGTCTTTATCTAAGCAATTAATACCATTGTCATTTGCTGGACAATATTAAAAAAAAATCACACTGTACAATTTCAAATTAGTTTCCATTACTTTATACTGGATTTATTATGAAAGAGGCTAGACAACAAGATAATTTTATCCAAGACTGAGCAATTAAACTCCTTTGCTTAAGTCCCAAGAGATCTAGATAACATCTGCCTGATCAGAGATGCTCTACCAGTTAATTCCTCACAGGAAACTCATTAATTTATCTCTAATTCAACATCTAATTTGTTATTAAAATTCTTCTTGACAACTGCTTGATAATTGTACCAATGTGGAATTTCTCTCTTGTTTTTGACACAAGCAAAACGTTATCATATTTATTAAAAATTGTTGTAAAGTTAGCAATGAGAAAAAAACTGTGTATTTTCTTGATGAAACATTTTATTAAATATCTGCAATATTCTTACATCTTTTGGGACTGTATAATTTAAAATGTAAAGACATATATATATATATATATATATATATATATATATATATATATATATATATTTAAATTTTGCCTTAAATGAAGGTCAAAGTGCCCTTTAAATAGGATGCGACAAACCCTCTATTTAAGATGCATCAAATGGCCGAGTATTACGGTTCTTGGTCTAAAAGTTATCTAGTAATGAGCCGAACAGGATTTTCCCCTTTCTTGACAATAACATCTTAATTAAAGGTCACAATGACCTATTTTTAGAGTGAAACACACCTTTTACACAAGATGTACCAGCGAACAAAGTTTCTTAATTCTATGCTCATAGTATAAAAATTATGAGCCGGACACGAAAAAGTAAACAGACAGACATATGGACAAACATAAACGCCATAACAAAATATGCCCTGCCTTAAGATGAGCGTATGAAATTATAATTCTCAGGCAGATTATTATTTCAAATATCCTCATTCAATTGACAAAATGAAAGCTTTATTACAGCAGAAGAAAAGAATTATGACATCTTAGTGAACCAGTTGCTGCGTAAAAAATCGTCCATTTGACAATTTTGAAGAAGTCAATAGAAATAGCTGTTTAATATTGTTTCTTTACCACTTTAGGGCGTAAAGTCACTTTGTATTATAGTTCCTGTAACGAATTCCATTTATAGGGTATGAAATACACTGTTGATTAATTACATGCGTTCAAATGCTTTACCTCACAAAGACCAAACATTTTTCATATGAACGTAATTTGTAAATATGTTTTAAAAATCAAAGCATAGATTTATATGGCACCACTTCCTATTATTATATTATGACAATGAGCATTAGACTTGATTTGGCAGATTTTTCTTTAAAAACTTGTATTGCTTAATATGAGGAAATATTTGTCCAGTCCTATCTTTTCTCTGTGTCATGATAACAGATCAAAGAGTCCGTTATATATAAAGATTACCTAATGTCGATCGAGAGAGAAAGAGAGAGAGAGAGAGAGATTACCTTAGGTTTTTAATCTTAGTCGATGCCATCGAGTATAACATAAATTCGATCGTTTTTTTAAAACTCCACAAGACAATCCCATTCTTTCATTCACTGCTTCATATTCTTTTAGGGTATCAGAATCTGTAACCAAGATTATACATTTATTACGAGATATTTCAATGAATCATTACATTTCATTGTTATTTATATTTAGTAAATGGATTAGTTCCGGTTGACAGTGAAGAATATCGGTACTTCGATTTCATTTTGAGTGAGAAGTCCAACGAACATTATTTTTTAGGTGGCCTTATTAAATATGCGAGGAAAGAGTAAGCGCGGCTGAGGGAGACAGATGATGTTTACTTGAAAGCATACTGAATAATTTATCTATTTATGAAAAAAAAACTTTACACATCAATTATTTAAACACAAACACACACACAACACACACGGTAATTATTCTGAGTACCTATTCCGGGCATATTGAATACATATTCACACGTTTGTTAGGTATCAAGGAAACAAAACAAAATTTCAAATTATCAAAACCAGTCCACAAGGTAGAGAAATTCGACGTGATTCACCCGTTGGTTACCGACGATTGCTTTTCCTTTTCGTAGAATTTCCCACAACCGTCAACGGACGAGTTCATTGGTTACTGTTGAAAGGTGAAACAGGTTAATCTTTCGTCGGTAAAACAGTGTATTGATCTGACTACTCTATTCCAGTTTACATGTAACAACAATTTTGTACATATTTTAATATTACAAAGTCGTAAATTCTTTCCCTGTCATAGAACTGTTATTAATTTCTCGGGCTGTATTCGATAAAACATAATTCATAAGTTTTAGGGATTATCATCGCATGCCGA